CGTTGTCCAAAAAAGCTGCGTCCGCCATCTTGTCTCCTCCTGTCCTCCATTTTGTGAGTTTTTAAATTCTCCTTCATCTGTCAGAGCCCCACCAGGCCGTCCTGGTTCCTGCTTCAGGTGGAAACAAATGTAATCTAAAGATTTTTTTTTTGTTTCTTCTAAACAAATTTTTTTTAAACATATTTTTCAACCCTTTCAGATTTAACTTCACATAGACTATTTTAATTTCAGCCTTAAATCCAATTGCAGTCTGCTAAACTCCACCTAACAGAGCAGAAGTTTGCGGACGGAGGGCCGGGTTTATTCAACAGGGGGCTTATCTCTTAAAAACAATTTGTCCAAGTAATCAGCAGCACTCAAGTCAGACTTACGGTTTTACACCTCAGCAGCGTGAGCGACTGTGACCTGTGGCCCTATAATGGCCACCGGGGGTCACAGAGGTTAATAGAGAGTGATGTATGAGGCCCCAGAGCGACATCCCAAAGGAGATGGCCCCTTAATCCTTATTAGGCCTCCATGTTAGTGATCCTTACCTTTCAAAGCAAACAGCACACGCTCTTTGCCGTGGGGCCCCGGCCTGCCCCCGGCGTTACACTTCTGACCTCAGGGTCGTGGCCTTTTGTTCAGAACCCTTCAGAGGATGACCTTTGGGGTCAGCTCTGTAATAGAGAAGTTGTAGAGGCGCGTGCTGCCGAGGGGCCCCTACGGTGGACCACCTCAAAGACGGAGTCAGGGCCGCAGCAGTAGTCTCTGTAAAGAGGTGTGTGTCTGACAGGCCGTTAACGTATAGCTGGTGGAAACCTGCAGCACACTCTGCAGGATATGAATAAGCTCTAATATTTAGATAAAACATATAAATGGCATCCAGGCATTGGTGGGTATAAGATTAGCTTCAGTTAAAGTACATAAATGTTTGTTAATAAATGCAAAAGATAAAAAAGACAAACATCTGCCTCTTCTGGGTGCATATCTGCTGCGGGTCAATGGACTGCAACAGCAATCGCTGTTATCTGTTTAACACCTTAATGATTGCTTTGATTACTTTTATTTTATGAACTGCATTAAATACCAGAAAGTAATTAATCCCCCCTAAAGTAAACTGCCCAAAGTTTTACTTTAGTTCCTCAAGACAAGAAAAAAAAGCCTTTTGTTTTTTCTTTGATTTGATAAAGCTTAATACCTTAAAGCAAAAAATATTTCCGCTTCAGTAGGAAAAAAATAAGTTTGGATATTTCTAAGTTTCTATTACTGTTATGTTAATATGATCAAAATTGTTTTGTTGAATAAGCAAAATAAACATTTCAATGACTACATTTATTTGGTGCTTTTATGTGTATATTTCACTGAATTCTTGTCCTCTGGGTGTGAATCCCGCTCCTTGAGGAGGCGTTTACCTGATTGAAATTAACGGGCGGCGCTTCTTTTGTTTCTCTAATGCAAAGAAAGTCAAATAGTTCATGGAAATCCAGAAATAATCATTACTTTCTTTGCAAGTTAAATGAATATAGAGGAGAATTCCTTCCAGTCTGCTGACTAACAGTGCTCAGCAACAGGTGGGAGAGGGGCAGCGTTGAGGTCCCCACATTTTCTTATAAAGAAAATCGGAGAAAAACAACAAATACATTTTTGTGTGTGTTTTTGTAATCAAATCTTTTGGTGCTTATCAAAAAAAAAAAATAATGAATCTGTTAAGGAACTTTTGTTGCATTGCTCTTTAATTTTTTTATTAACATTTTTTTGCACCTATAATCTATACATTTGGCTGTAAGCTGCTTCCGCGGCTGCACTGAGTGGTTACCTATGGTGGCTGTTATTGTCTGGGGCTGTGGATTAGCAGGATGACTCATAAAGACGTGACCACATAAGGAGGGGGTCTAATCAGATCTCTAGTTATTAGTTCAGGAATGAGTTAATTTTGACTGCTGCATTGCCGCTGAGAGTCCGACTGTGGTGGGGTGGTTTTTGCAGAGTTGTCTTTTCAGATCCCCTCTTGTTTAATTTAATATTTGCAGATCTGAAGGACAGTTAAAGCCTAAACTTCTTGTCTCATCTTTCTTCCCCTCCTTTTTAAACATGCCCACAATTAACCCGCTTATCCAGTCTTAATACTGCTGTAAGATTTGACTAAAGCTATGCCAAGGCCGATCACAGATCGTTCTAACCGAGAGGGTTTTCAGGCTCACAGAGATGTCATAAATGAGGGTTGTTAATATTAGAGTTTCATCAATGGCAGCATTACGCAGGCCGCTCCTTCTGGGGCGAGGCCGCCGCTGAGGGCTTGAGTGTCAGAAGTTGGCAGCCGAGCTAAAACCAAAGCTGTATCCTCGAATGAACCCGGAGCAACAGGCTCTGCCAAGTTTTTTGAATTCCTGCCACATGTCAGATGGTAAACAAGTAACTCGCAGAAACAGTGTCTTAGACAGAGGACAGGGAGCCCAGGGAGGAGACTCTACAGATCACAGATGAGACCTGCGTTTGTTTGCAACGGCCGTTTGATTTATATTCAGGATGCAGTTGTAGTGGCGTTTTGTGCTTGCAGAGGTTCCCATTGGTTCCCTTGACATGGCGAGATGTGACGTCACAGGGTGTTAGGGCCGGTGACTATTTGGTGCTCGACCTATTTTTCTCATCAAGGGACAGAAGTGTGTTTTTATCTTAAAAAACCACAAAGAAATTATGTTTCTATCCCTGCTGCTAATCTCAGTCTCTCTTTCTGCTCCTGCTGGTCATCTATTTAGATATGTGGAGATTTAAGCTGAAAAGAGGAGACTTCCCCTCTCTCTCGGTCACACAAGCAGCAACGTAACATAACGCCTTTTTCTTTCACCCTCCAAGTCGGAGCAGCCATGTTAGTTTGTTCTGCTGTTCCTCGTCTTCCATGGAAATTGTACAAAAAACACATTTCCGTCCAAATTTCCCCGATCGTTTCATCTCTTCGAACTGTTTGGGCAGATTTACCTCAGAAGTTGGGTTAGATTTGCTCAAAGATGTGAGATCCCAGTTAGTTTTCCCGTCTCTTTTGTAGGGCTGCTACTTCAGGGAGAGCAGAGAGAGGTGGGGGGGGTTGTGTGCCTGTGTGGAGTTCTGGTTTCTTTTGGGAAGGAGATGACTGCAGGGGAGGGGAATTGCTTCCAAAAGAGAGGAAGTTATCTTCTGTCGCAGCTACGAGGCATCACCGCGTTTTGGACAGTTTTTCAAGGGGGCGTTGGGGTGGCATGCTAAGGCAGAGGTGAGGCAGGAAGCGAGAGGGTTGGTGTCTGGTCCTGAAAAACAAAACCAAAAAAAATTGGTCTTAGTTTGAAACAGACTATAAATGGGAGAGAACCGACTGGACTGTTTGCAGCAAAGTCAGGGGGTTGCCCGGTCTCGGCACATGCCGGGCACACTGCGGTTAATATTAAAGCGCTTTATTGGAGGGCTGACTGTTGCAATCATGGCGGCACACCCAGGTGCTTATCGGCCATTGACCGCATGCCAAAGCAGTCAGTGCAGCTCATTAATGTGTCCGTGATGAAGGAGGAAAAAAAAGGAAGGAGCGTTCAGAGCTGACGTTTTCTCTGGCCTTTATTACTGGAACGCCACTGGTTCCTCCCTCCCTGAGAGGTTTACTGGTAGAGGACCTATTCAGGTCCAAAGATTTATTGTGAATCTCCCAGCTAGCTGAATCCTTGAATCACTTATAAGTTTGTGTGCTTTCTCTGACAGTCCTGAAGGAGAGGAGCTCCTGACCGTCCCCCCCTTTAGCTCCCTCCCTGCCCTGCCTCATGCACACGTACGTCGGCGGACTCGGTGATGAAAACGCGTAGCGTGCACACTCCCACACGTCCACTGTTTCATCATCAGCTGAGCTCTTTCTCCTCCACTCACAGAGCTCGTCCCCTCCCTCTCCAGGCTCCCCTCCCCTCTTGGCTCCTGCTTCGGTTTCTATCCATCGCTCCTCGCCTCCTCCTCCTCTTCTTCTCTCTCTGAGTCCTGGCCACATGCGAGAGGCTAGACTAGGACACTGCAGCTCGGAAAAAAAGAGGGGAAAAACGCTCTGTTGCTATTTCTACAGGCAGGCCCTCCCCTTTAGCTACCCTGTGCCAGAAGAGGGAGGGATCCTCCACTAGTTCTGGGATTTTAACCCTCTGCCTACTCTCACTTCTTCTCTCTGCAAGATTTCTTCCTCAGTTTCATGCAACAAGTGGCTTTACTTTACCGCCTCTTTGCCGTTTTTCTTACACTGATTTTTTTGTTGCTAAATGGACTCGAAGTGATCTTGGTTTTGCTTTATTCTCTTCTGAGCACGTGCTTCTTCGTTGCACTTTCTCACGAGTGCCTCCCACCCCCTCACGCAAAGTCGAGGACGAGCGTTTAACCGTTGTTGGACCGGCCTTGGGGATCGTGTTACTGAGCATTTACCTTGAATTCTCCTCTTATATTTTCCCATGCTCTTATCTGCTTTGCCCTCCACCTTCCATCTGTGGAAACCGGTCCCTCTCTTTGGCTTCTCTGCCCCACCCTCCTTTTTTCCCTTACGATCCCCCCCCCTCTCTCTCTCTCATGGGCAGTCTTGAGTGAAAGGGGAGCAGGAGGGTGGAGCAGCAGCCAGGCTTTTTCTAGGACAGGTGCCAATTTCTATCAAAAGCCTTAAAAAAAGGGATAGAATCAAGCCATGAGGAAAGAACCTGCACAGATGAAGAACTGCTCTGCAGCAATACCACGTGTATGAATGTGTAACTATTCTGCTCTTGCTGAATCTTTTTCCCTTTTTTTTTTTTTATCCACGGCAGGCATGAGCAGAAATGGAGATCTTGAATTCTCTCGCTCTCGTGAAGGCATTTGAGTTTGGAGCTGGGATAAGAGGAGGGGCAGGGCGAGTTAGGGACGAGGCAGATAGGGAGGAGGTGGAGCAGAGCTTTTTTTTTTTTCTCCCCCCCTTCTCTCTCTCTCTCATTATTCATGTTCCCGGGCCCCTCTCTTCGCTCTGACTGGCTGCCTGGCATAGCATTCATCCAACATTCAGCAGCTCTGTTTGCTAACATTCCTCATTCAAAGCCCGGTTAACTGCCAGACGGGAGGAGCACGCGACTCCATAGGAAACCCACATGGCCTCCCCTATTGTGGTGGGCCTGGAATCGGAGGTTTAAGGGACGGAGAGGAGCAGGATGTGCTGGTTTGTGAATATGAGACTGTTATTCGAGGTTAGGGAGGGTTTTTCGAATTGTATAGAGCGTTTTGGCGATTGCAGAGGTAAATCTGTGGCAGAGAGGGGAATGCTGATGTATGAAAAAGGCGTTGGGCGCAGACGGAGGAGGCTGATACTTTCCGGGATGCTGAATGGGTCTCACGTTGGCGTGCCCGCCTACTCCTTGCAGCGAGTGCAGAGCTGTGTGACTGAAGCTGAAGCTCCCTGTCTCTGCCCCTTCTACAGGAAGGATATGTGGGCATACTGTGCTGCCTAGGATGTGCCCGGCGGAGAATACAGCAGTTTTATCCCGGATAGCTGATTCCAGTCTCTCCAAAGATGGTAAGTCAGACGACGTTCAGTTCAGGGTGTTCAGCGTGTGTCCAGAGGTCTTTTCTTTTGACAAACCAAACGTTTCGAGCTCCATCTTCATGTATCCAGTCGGACGAGGCTTAACATGGCGTATCTACGAGACTTCCTTAATCTCTTAGCATTTTCTTTTTGTCCGGAGTCTAGTTTTGCTTCCCGGATCAGTGTTTGAGTGAGAAGTCTTCACTGAGGGGAGCAGAGAGGGGCCAGGGCTGAATGTAAGGCTGAGGGCCAGACAAGGCCTGCAACACAAGGCCAAGCTCATTCACCATACATTGTCCGTCTGTACATCCCGGTTTTTCCTCCCTCAATCCTGCGTTTATCGTCTAGAAAGCTATTAGCCGTCATTTAAGCCTCATTTTCGGTTAATATCCACATGTTTTCTACTCATAATAGTCGTGTAAATGTAAGGAAAATGGGTCGCGCTGACACGTGGCTCCCCGCCGTTTTAATAAAGCCAGAACAAACCTATTAGAGGTACGCTTTACAGTGCTTTTGTTTTTAATATGGCCAACCTTAAAGTGGCTTTTTATTGATTTTCACTGCTAGAAATCCTTTTTTACTTGTGGTATCCGGGTAAGGGAAGCAAATCTGTGAATTGTCGAAATCGCGAAAAGATGGATGCTTCTACATCCAAGAAGAATATGCACTGTGAATTTCGCTGTGTGACGTTAAATTTTACACATAATTCAGAAACCTGAATAACACCACACCCCCTACTAAACACCATGAAGCATAACATCTTCTAAACAAAGCCCTGTAAATCAGGTTTTTTAGCCCTCAGCAATTGAAAACTACATTTTTATTTTTTTATCCCTATTGATATCGCTTCTTGTTGCACACTAGAGTCGACCTTGACCAAACGACAGAGGAGTGGAGGAAGCGTGAGTCATCCCAGATACCTCCACTCTCCTTCCCACCTACATCCCACGTTTGACAGGCCCTATTCATCTGTCACTCTCGCACTACAGGGCCTAGCACAGGCTACTTCATCACTGTCACCATCACAAGAGGCTCCTGATGTGGCTCCCCTTGTTAAATGGCTCCAATGCTTTTTTTTCTGCAAACCTCGGTGAAGTGAAATTAGGAGGTAAATCAGTGATGTTTGGACAGGGAGGACGTCATTGTTGGACTCCAACGGGTCCACAAGGAGCAGCAGTAAAATCCAATATAGCCTGTTGTCTTTTCCATTTCCTCTTTTATATTAACCTGCGTTACAGTGTTGAAATACACTGTGGTACGTAGCCTGAACTCGTTTCCTTTAGCTTTTTGGACTTTTAACAGCGGACGGTTCCACAAACGGGAAAAAAAAAAACTACGCTGACAAAGTGCAGGCGCATCATATATAGAAACGCGCACGTTTTATTTAATGTTGGATTTTATGTTTGTCGGGAATAACAAAATGAGACTCGCTGGTTATTTCTTTTGAAAAATGTTGTTCTTGCATAGAAATTTAAAGGAGAAAAAATTCTTATTGTGGTTTGAATTCAACTTTTATGACGTACATTGTTTAAAGAAAAAAAAAAAAGCAGCACCAGACACACAGGACCCAGTCTTTCACACACCCAGACACATTTGATGCTATGTACCCCACAATGAACCGAGCCTCCTCAGATGAATGGGGTTCCCACGCCTCTCCTAAGGAGTGCAGGGCACAGCCTCCTCCTTTGAGCATTCACACACACACACACACACACACACACCCACAGTACACACACTATAAAGGGCCTCCCAGTCTTTCATAGGCAAGCACACACAGGTGCATGTGAGTATGATGCAGTGGCACACATGTAGTTAAACGAAACATTTCTGTAGGCAGGGAGAGACAAGCTTAAATGGTTATTTGTTATTCTGAACACGTTGATAAAGGTTCGGTTTTAGCCACCGAGTCAAACAGGAGGATCTTTGTGGCAGTTTGGCCCCAAAATGCAAAATCGTTTTATTTTGTAATGAGGAGAAACAGGAACTAATGAGGAGGGAGATGCATCAGGATGCATTCAGTTCAATTAAACTTTACTTTTTAGTTTTTCTGCCAGTGTGTGTGTGTGTGTATATAATCCCTGCTCTTCTCTTTTATTCACAGGCTCATTATTTTGGAATTACATGAGTTTTCCTGGCTGGAAGTCAAAACCAAGGTTAGTTAAGCAT